CCGAAGAGCCAGCACTGTCCAAAGACGTCTCCATGGTCATGTGGCCGGCATGACTAAATGCCAAAGGCGCACGGAACGCTGTTGCCTTCCCACCAAAGGTGGTTCCTATTTTTCTACTTGCATTTTTTAAGTGCTTTTGAACTGCTAGGTTGGCAGAAGCTGGGACGAAGTAATGGGAGCTCACTCCATTACACAGTGCTAGAATTCATACAAAGATTCTGCTCATTACTTCAAGTCCTTGTTTTGCTAATTGGTATAAGAATTTATAGTAAATATTTAAGAGTTTCCTATATAAATATGAAAGTAAATTAATCAATAAAATAAGATTAAATAAAATATATAAGTATAAATATCTCAAACAGGAGAACAACATAAAGATTTGGGATGATATTAATAGAGTCCAAATGAGAATCTTGAAAGAAAATTCCATAAATAATATAACAGAAAGCAGAATATTTCCTCCACAATTAATAGTTATTACTTTAGGTGGCAAGGATCATTTTAGGAGGACTTCCAAGAGCTATTTCAATATATAGGCAAGATCCTTCATGTACCCAGATCTCAAGCCATGTAAAGTGCCAAAAGTACTACTGTGAACTGCTCTTAGAAACAGTCCAGAAACCCATAAAATTCTATAAACTTCAGTAAACCGAATCACAGCCAGTCTACAACTAGGAGCTGCATTTTGGATGAACTGAAACTTCAGCAATCTTCTATGGCAGATCATATAAAATCTACAATATTGCAATATTCTAAAACCGGAAGGTAGCAAGTACAATATAAAAATTAGAAGACATTTACAAAGTCAAAGCACACGAAGAAACAAACAGGAAAGCCAAATTGTTCCTAAACTTTAGCTAAGTTTCCATGATCTCCCAAGAAAAGTGTTTCAGCAGCCTTTAGTCTAAAAAAAAAGGTTTTACAGTAGTTATTGGGTTCAAAGTTAGTAAACTGAAAGATTAATATAATAGTCAGTATTCAGAATTTCAATAGACATGTGTTTTGGAGATAATCAATATGCAACAAACGCTTCCTAACAGTATTTCTTAGATACTATCCCATTTTCCCATTTATTTAAAAAACAAATCGATTTGTTAAATCTTATAGACCAGAGAAATTACAATTACTCAGAACAATCACACCCTTTCTTTAAGGTATTCAAATCTTACGCAGGGACTTAGCCAGTTCTACTCTTGAGTCTGACAGAATTTTGTCTAAACAAAATGTCTTGGCCCTGTATCAATCTTCTAATAGAAGGCTCAAAATTATAGATTGGGCCCTATTTGATCAGATTACTAAATGTCTAATGTTTTCAATTCAAAGTATGCCTTTAAGTAATCATTAAGACTTTTCTTCCTTTGAACAAAATGGAAGGAAATGAGCCATACTGATTATTGAAGGTGCAAACTTCCCCAAACAGAAACACAAATTACCTTTGAAATCAATCTCAAGATGTTTGAATATGACTGTACAGGATAGCATAACAGCACTGTTAATTCTGAGTGGCTAGATGTTATTACATGCTTCAACTGATTTTGAAATTTGTTATGTAAATGAGGAGGTTGTGCTCACTTTAGTATAACATTATACTCTCAAACATTCCAATTAATTGTCATCTTAAAATCATATAAAAACAATGGAAAATGGTGAACCTATTTCAAGGGTACTTCAAAGAGTTGCCTGAGCTAATCTTCTCACTCTGAACATTTGTTTGTGAGTTTGCAAGTCACTCAGACAACCAAATGTATTAAGCTGGTCAACAAGTATATCAGGTTTTAGCAACTCTACTGTTATGACACATCAAATTAAAAGTCTCAAAGTAAAAGAGTAGGATTGCCTCTGACAGTGTTATTTACAAGCCAAATAACCATTTATGTAGTTTACTTGAATGCAGGATTCATTAAATATACAAAAGTCAAATTAATTTCCTCACTGAAATTACAGTAAGGTCAATATTTATATTTACAGTAGAAATGCTGCTTCCTGCACTGAGTATTATTTCTATTATTAAAATATTTTGTAATAGGAAGCGAGAAAGAAGCATTAAGCTTTGAAATTTTTAGAAAATGCCATTGTATTATAGATGGGAACTCGGGGAAATTAGCATGCTATTTTGGGAACACAGGATAAAGTATCTCACCATGTAGCCTATTTCTAGCTTGAAATATGGCAAATGTATTTCATGAAAAGTACGTGGAAAAATATTCAAGATTTGTAAGCAATTAGGGGCCTATACAGATTACACATCTGTCAGATAAGCAGAAAGGAAAACTATCCTTTTAAAATTACAGGAGACAGAAGGTGTTAGTCTTTTGCAGTGGTGAAATATCTATTCATTTTAATAACGTTATTATTCAAGATACAAAACTGAATGCCAGACATCACTATAGGCATGTTTGTTTTAATGCTTACAGGTGATCAAATAAACACACTTAGGTAGCATTATAGCTAACTGAACATATTCTAGGGGGAAATTGTCAACACCAGTAAGTTAAATGATGTAGTGTATAGGCCTATGTGAACGGATAGCTACAGGTCAGAAATTTAGGTTATTATATTTTTTCTTTCAAAGCAAGAACAGGTTTTCTATTGTGAGTTCCAATTCATAACTTCAAATGAGGAATACCTCAAGGGTGGTCATAGATAATCTGTTACTTTTATGCATGAGAATAAAATGCTGAAAAAGAAACATACATATTATGTTAGAGTAATTAATTTTTACTATTGTTTCTCTTCAATTTGATAAATTGGGGCTTTGTAATTTTCCTGAAAATGATACATTATCCAATAGCCTTATTTTGTTCTAATTTTATCCTCATGAGTGCTGAGAAGATACAAAATTATAAAAATGTTCTATTTAGTAAAATAGTAATATTCTATACCTTCTTCGATGAATATATATTGTACTTTATAAAGTACCTAAAATTGAATTATGAACTTAGAAGTCTGATTTATATCATACTTTTATCATCAGCTCAGGTACTGAGGTACTGCCTCTGTCCAATCGTATCCATCTGTCACATTGGTCCAGCAAGAGGAGTATGTTGTGGGTCCTAGTCCATGAAAAAAAGGTCATCTGACAGGACCCAGGAAGAGAACCTTCTCTGCTGTAGCACCCACCTTTGGAAGATCATTCCACCAGAGTTGAGTTTGCCCCCTTGACCTTGCTGGCCTTCTGGAAGGGCCAAAAAAACATGGTTCTGCCATCTGGCCAGCACCGTGGTAGGTATGGAGCATGGATAGAGGCTGTATTGCTATGGAAACTGAGCTCTCCCACAGATCATGACTTTTTAAAATAGCTTTTATTGGTTCCTATTCTTTTTATATATTTAAATTATTTTTAATATTATGGTTTTTGTGATTTTCTTGCATTATTTTTTTTTAAATCTTTTTAGCTTTGTACATGGCCCAATCATATATGTGAGATGGGCACTTGTATAAACTTCAAAATAAAGTGGCTTTGCCTAAACTTCCATCCTTGCTTCTCTATTAGCATTCCTATAGAAACTGCATAACGCTTTTAATATTTAAGCATATGACTACTATTGCAATGTAACAAAATATATTTTACAATATATAATTTGAAGATGGTATTTAGTATCAAAACATACCTTTGAATGAAATCAATATGTCTATTTCAGGAAAGACAACTGAATAACTATTATATATAACAAAATCAATGAGGAAATGTAACAGATATATAAAAAATGACTTAGGATTTTCACATGGTGCAATCCATTGGCATACGACTTGTCTCTAGTCACAATATACAATTAGCCCTGAACTAATCCAACAAAGCAGTTATGTTCTTAAACTATTAATACCTTAATTCTCAGATGTCTTAAATATCATAAGGGGATTAATACATGTAACTGTTAAAAGATGCAGTGTGGAAAACCAATTGTCATTATTAGTTAGATGTAATGTTCTGCATATGTATATCAATTTAGTAGAAATAAGATTGGTTAACTACATAAAAAGAGCAAGAAAATCCAAGTGCAAAGCTTCAAAAATCCAACTGTTTTCAAGTAGCTTATTTTAAAAAATCAAATACAATTATAACCCAATATTTCCAAAGAGGAACAGCAGGGAAAATTCAGTATCACCTCAATATTGTAAATGTTAAATGAGGTACAGGTTTTGAAATTCAAAGACAACACTAATTTCTTAATGGTGTTAGTCAAGGTTTTTGTGCCATAGCCAAGATAGAAATGAAGAACTTTATATACTAGCCAGTATCCTATAGAATTTAGAAATTTAAACATTGATATATGATGCTAGCCTCAATTCTTTGTATTGACTATCCAACTCTAGGAGACTCTGGATAGCATACAAAACTAGTGGAAACAAAAGCAAAGAATTGAATCAACTAGATTACCCAGACTAAAATAACCCAATAGAGTCAAATAAGGTCCATCGAACAAATGAGCATCAACTGCAGGCCTGGGACCAAAGCCAAATTTTCAAAGCTTTCCAGAACACCAGGAGAGAGGGCACCATCCCTATTTCTAGAAGGATGCTGTTCCAAAGGCTGGGAGCCATAACAGAGAAGGCACACTTCCTAAGTCCCATGAGATGGCAATGCTTAATAGAGGGGGACCTGGAATGTACCCATTCTGTTGTAATTTACCAGGCAGGAAGAAACAAGTGGAGACAAACAGTCTCCCAGATATCCAGGCACTAACACAGTACAGAGCTTGCTGATGTAGCAAAATAAAAAATAAAAATAATTTACAGCAGAGTCTTAGCACTTCAGATGCTAAGTATCCTAATGGTCAGGAATTGTGAAAATTGTCCATGTTATAAACATTTTGCTATAGGAAGCCACCCCTCCCCTCCCCACAAGAAATAAACAGTGACAGATGCAAACAAATAGGTAAAAGTCAAAAACACTTAACTAAGAGTCATTGCCTGAAAATCAATTAATAACTTTGAGATATTTCATGTAATCGTTGTTTGAAGGAAAACAAGCATTGCCCAACAGAAATTTCTGTACTAACCTGGAATCACAGCCAATCCATACTTGGCCTGTTCTGATATTCAAGTCACTTCTCTGCCACCTTTCCCTTACCGTAGCCAGACCAAGGTAATACTTCCTGGTTTCTCAGTCAGTCTAATCCACTTATGTCAGATTATTCAAGGCCTGCAATAAATATAGATATATAAATTCTGGCTTCATGCATATTATGTTTAAAGAACAGGTATTTTCTAAAAAGGTTTTCATTCTAGCTACTATATTACAAATGCTTTGTCTTTCTTAACCTATCAGTATTAAATTCCTTTTAGATGCCAGCTCTAATGTTTCACAATATAATCAAGATATTTAATACACTTACATCTTACCTTTATGTACAGAAGCTAAAACCCTTCCTCTTATTTTCCCCCACAACAATACTGTAAGGTAGACTGAGATGAGCTGTGAACCTCCATGGCTTAGAGTAACCTAGAATCTGGGTCTCTCCACTTCTATCTAGTGGTCTAGTCCCTAATCACTACAAAACACTGGCTCTCAAGTCCTGTTCAGTTCACTATGTAGCCCATAAATCATGACAATCATCTCATGTGTAATTATTTTGTTTACCATCAAATACAGAATAAGCATCCTACATTCTTCTAGCCAACATAAACAGGACAGACTAAGAAATGCTAGACTCAGCACACTGCTTCATCATTTCTTGTATCCAACAAGATTTTATAACAATGGAGATATAACAAAAATGCCAAAACAAGCTTTCAGAATTAATATTTACTTCTACTATACTATGGTAACATTTTTAAGTTATGTTTATCAACTCTTTTTCCATTTTTGTATTTAATCTAAAAAGCCAGACTTTGGAGAAATAAATTTATCTTAAATATCCCAGCAAAAACGAGTAATTAAACAGCCATGTACACAAAAAATATCTAACTAAGAAAATTGCCAGTAAATCAATGGTGCATCTCCCCACCTTGCTCTTCATTTTAATATGCTACATCCAGAGCACAAAAGTTGTTTAGCTTTGGTTTTCTCTAACTGAAGAGTTAGAAAAGCATATATATGTAACCTATTTGGGACACAGTTCTCTATCTAACATACCTTACAAAAAGTCAGAGAAATTTACAATGATGGGTTACCCAAGAAATGTTTGAGTTTGCTAATTAGAATAAACAAAGTGTACCACAATCTATTATGAAGGAAAAATCAGATTCCAAAAATCACTTTGGAGAGATATTTAAAACAAAGATAGGTATTTCACAGCAAGCTTACAAAAGTATACCTATACACAAAGGCATCCTTTTACTACATACATCCACCCCACCCCCCCAATAACAAGAAAACGTAATTCTTCACCCTTTGAGAGAAAGCTAATAAGGGGGGGGGAGGGTATCCATATATATCCATTATATCCATATATCCATACCAATGTAAGAATAGCTCCCAAGTCTCCCCCAACCCGCAGCTTTCACGACCCCACTGCAATAGACTGGCGTGAAATAGCGCAATGGTTTCAATCCATGGTATTACCTCAACTATATATATATATATATATATTTAATATACGATTAACCCAGCTGCCTTGGTCGAGGTGGGACCCTGAACGAAGTACGTGGGCTGGGCTCTCAAGGCTAACGCGTTGGCCGCCTAGCTTCCTACTCGAATACGTCGCGTTTACCTAAAAGGAGGGGGTTGGGGGGGGGGAGAAAGCCCGAAGTCTATCAAGACCCCTCACCGGGACTCACGTGCCTCCTTTTGCGGGTGATGTGCGAGTGAGATATAAGGGGGAAAGTCCTACCTCCAAAGGAACAGAGGCGAAGCACTTCGCACATGGCTAGCCCATTCTTAACCGAAGGATGACTCAAGGCAAAACCACCACCACTTCCCGACTTCAATCACCCCCCCTCCCCACCCGCTTCATCTCCGGGGGAAAGCCCAGGCCCATTGTCCCGCCTCAACAAACATCCCTTTTCTCACCCCACTTCCCTCTTCCCTTCGGCTAGACCTTCAAGTGGTCCCCCGTCTTGGCGGAACCCACGCGCCCCTCCAGCCCGGCTTGCACGGATACCTGCTCCGGGAAAGAAATGGAGGGGGTGTCAATGCCGTACCCCGTTGCCTCCCGCCGCCGCCATCTTAACAGCAGTCCCTGAGCCTCAGCCCCAGTTAAATCACGCGAGAACTCACCACCTGGTAGGGGGAGCGAAGAAGAGACGCGATAATTGAGGGAAGATCAGGCGAGAACTGGAGGAGCGGGGAGGAAAGGAGGCAAGTCATGAGGAAACGAAAATCTCGCGAGACGTTGTCTCAGGCAACCACTTCCCGCGAGAAGAACAAACCAGAAGAGAACGGCGGAAGCGCCTGCAATGGCGTTCAACTCCGGGGAGCTTTTTTCCTCGGGCAGAATATTGGAAGGGCCATTGTAATCACGCGCCGGAGTTCCACGCTCGGAATGAACAATCCAGCTAGTAATTCTTCCTCGTGAGGAGTACCGCGAGAACCAAGGCAGATTGTTTCTCGCGAGAATCAACGGAACAATGCGAGACTTTCAATCATGGTGTTTTCCGGGTATCTTTTTATTTCTGCTTGTTGCAGAAGTTTGAGTTTCTGAAAATTACATCATGTGAGAAACTGTCCGCGGCTCAACCTGGCTAAATCCTGAAAGTTTCATCAGCCTCCCATTGAAGGGGCAAGAGAGAAAGAAAACTTAGCATCTAGAGAAAATTCCCGCGAGACTTCGGAGAGCACCTACGAAATGCCGAGACTTGCGTGCCTAAGACAATCGTTGGGGGGGAGCGGGACGGTGAAGCTAAATCTCGCGAGAGCTAGTGATGGCTTGCGGAAGTGTGTAGCGTTCGTTTAATCTGTAGCGAGATTTCGCAGGCGTTGAACTTTGGAGAGATTCGAATAAAGCGACGCGGGCTAGGCCGGGTAGCGGCGTCTTGGGGAACCCCCGTCGAAAATTAGGATTTCCCCCCTCTTCTCGCATAACTTGGCGGGCGCTCGGTGGAATTCTCGCGAAAGCTTGAGAGGAAGAAACGAGAAAGACTTGTTTCCAAACAGACCGGGTTGCCGCTGACACCCTCTAGCGGTGAAGGGTTGTGTTGTTGCCCTCGCGCCCCCTCCCCACTCCACTCCTTTGCAGTGCGCAGGCGTGTTACGGAGCGCGTGGGGAAATTCTTTCCACCGCAGCGTGAGCGCGCGAAGCTGTTTGGAAAGTTCGCCCTGCTGAGGAGATCAAGAAATCCCCAAGGCTGTGGGCGAAGAGCTTGAAAGTCTGCCCGAAATAAATAAATTTAAATAAATTAATCTTGGAAGAAGACCGAGTCAGGCCACTCATCCTGTTGGTGCTAAAAAAAAAATGTATGTTTAAGAAGGCGCCAGGCAGGGATTAGATTTCATTAACCCTAAATAAAGAACTTTATAGAATAGAATTCTTTATGGGCCAAGTGCGATTGGGGACCTACGAGGAATTTGGTGCGTATCCTCTCAGACTACATAAAAAGACAATACATTAGTCAAGAATCAAGGTACAATATGTAATGGTAGTCATAGGATACAAAAAAGCAATCAGGAAACAATATCAATATAAACCGTAAGGATACAAGCGACAAAGTTACAGTCCTTCAGTCATAAGTGGGAGGAGATGAGTGATAGGAACTGTCAAAGGACTAATAGTAATAGTAATGCAGCCTTAGTGAATAGATTGACAGTGAGGAGGGAAATATTTGTTTAGCAGAGTGATCGTGTTTGGGGAGAAAAAAAACTACTTGTGTCTAGTTGTCCTGGTGTGCAGTGCCCTATAGCAGTGTTTCTCAACCTTGTCAACTTGAAGATGTCTGGACTTCAACTCCCAGAATTCCCCAGCCAGCGAATGCTGGCTGGGGAATTCTGGGAGTTGAAGTCCAGATATCTTCAAGTTGACAAGGTTGAGAAACACTGCCCTATAGTGTCGTTTTGAGGGTAGGAGTTGAAGCAATTTATGTCCAGGATGCGAGGGGTCTGTAAATATTTTCACGGCCCTCTGACTTGTGCAGTGTACAGGCCCTCAGTGGAAGGCAGGTTGGCAGTAATTTTTTTCCCCCTGCAATTCTGATTCCCCTCTGAAGTCTTTGTCTGTTTTGTTGGGTTGCAGAACCAAACCAGACAGTTACAGATATGCAGGTGACAGGCTCAATAATTCCTCTGTAGAACTGAATCAGCAGCTCTTTGGGCAGTCTGCGCTTCCCGAGTTGGCACAGGAAAAACAATTCTTTGTTGTGCTTTTTTGATGACGTTTTTGATGTTAGGTGTCCATTTTAGGTCTTGAGATGTGAGAATCGTATCAAGTTATTTGAGATTAAACGATACCTTTGGAATTACCAGGCACAAATTCAAAGTTTTTTTTAGAAAGGCAGTTTTAAAGTATTATTCAAATCTGTGAGGATTTTTTTTTTAATTAGTCCAGCTTTGTGGCGGATAATATAATTTTTCTATAATCCACAATTATAATTCTGGACACGTAATTTTATGACTTATAATATAAGGTCTATTGAAGTAACAAATGGCAGGACACTGCTCTTTTAATTAATGCAAGTTGTAGGTACTTGGAAGCTATTATTTCTGTCTGGTACAAATGCATCCCTAACCTGTTGGTTGACCAATCTAGTTTTGTAGCTTTTTGAAATGGAAGAAAAACTTGTTTAACCAGATTTATCAAGTGCCGTACAGTAATCTTAGCCTTTTTGCATTATCTCTCATTAACTTTGACAAATATTACTTGCAGTTTGCAGGTGTTTTCCCTCCAAACAGATTTTACTATTAAATGTAATCATGCAAGATGTCCAACACAAATTGATGTTAAATACTTCTAACCTGCAACATTCCAATAGTATAGTAACTGGAAAGGGAGCATTCCAATAGTAGTATAGTAACAACTGGAAAGGGAGAGCACCGGATGTAAATTAATTCAAATTAGGCTTATGTGCAAACATGCTTATATCAAATCTGGTTCACATCTGAACCATAATGGATTTTGAGTTATTAAACTTATGGTTTGTAAACCATAGCATATGACAGATATGATTGTAACCAATTACACTCGACAAACTGACATACCGGTACTTTGTAAATCACATTTAGTAATGATCTAGGTTCTAGTTTATACAGTACAATAATGTAATATTGGTTACTTGTTCAATCTAATTGGTGTATATAAAGAACATTTTGCTTACCTTGGTTCAGTGTTTTACCTTATTGGAGAAGTTTAGTAACAGCACTAACTCTTCAAGATATGAATTACATGAACCAGAGTCAATTGCATTATTACATTTTACAAGAATGTTTATTGTGTACTGCGTTAACATTTTAGAGAAAGAAGAAACTGCATATCACACCTGTCCTAGCACATTATTGTAATGAGGTTACCAAAAGTATTGTTAAGTTTTGTTTAAGAGTCATGCTATATGATCCAATTGTTCAACCAGCCTTTGATGTAATAACATATCTGGTGCTAATCCATTGATTTGTAGATCCTGGTTCAAGAGTATGTCAGATTGTATCAGACAGTTATTTTGTCTTAGCATATATTGTGTAAACCCAGCAAATCATTAGCATTTTAGATTAATCTAGCCAAATTGTGGTTTATTAAGTAAATCATAGTTAAATATACTTGAATGTTCTTTGAATCGGGCCTAACCGTTATAATGTTTAGGAGCTGCAAATAAAATATAGCTAATTTCCCTTATTTCCTGACATGTGGGCTAAAATTCATATCCAACATAATTATGGCTGAGATGAGGGTTGTAGGACAAATAGCTGGGGGATATGATTTGAGGGAAAGAAAGCTGAAATAAAAATTCTGCATAGAGCATACAGATACGTTAAAAACATACAATATGTGACACTGATATGCATGACTCATACAAATTCATGAATAATTGGATCTTCTGTATAGGTGCTTGGAAGAGAATCTGGCTGATGGATTTACACTCTAAGATGGATGTTCACAGACTGCTGTCTTATGATATGTGGAATCAGTGACTCTGTAAATTGGGTCACCTGTATGCAGTCTTTTTTCAGCAGAACAGTACTTCCATTTTTCCTAGTGTTACAAGAATGAATAAAAAACTTCATTACTTAATATCCACAAATTTTGATTCCAGTTTTAAAGTGTTTATGGATATCCCTTTTTTTCTCTCGTTTTAATTCATTTCAGAAAAAGGGATTTTTGAAAAAATATATTCACTACAGGGCAGCAAATATCACTAGAATTAAGGAACCAGTAGGAAATAGATCAGGTAGTATTGTGCAGGAATTTTCAAACTTTTCCAGACTGTGAAACCTTGGTTATTTTTTTTAAAAAAAAATTCTTGGAAACCCTGATCAAGAAGCAAATCTCCAGTGATAGAAAATTGGCTTTTATAACTCTTAATTTCATGGAACTCTTAAGATTCCTCAGAACACAGCTGGAAAACCTCTAGGCTAGACAAGGAATAGCTTTACTTTTGGATTTTTTTTATTGCAAGAAAGGGTTCCCAATTAAATAACTGTAGATATCACATATAAATTATGTGTGGTCATTTTTTGCCTCAATAAATGAGATATACACTACCGAAACTTAAATACTTTGGCCACCTAATGAGAAAGAAGGATTCAGGAGAAGAGCATAATGCTGGGAAAAACTGAGGGCAAAAGAAGAAGGGGACGACAGAATGAGGTGGCTGGATGGAGTCACTGAAGCAGTCAGCTTGAGCTGGAATGGACTCTGAGGGATGGTAGAGGACAGGAAGGCCTGGAGGAACATTGTCCATGGGGTCGCGATGGGTCAGACACAACTTCGCAACTAACAACAATACCAAATTCTAGAAGACGGTCCTTAATTTTAAAAAGATACGCCTTTTGCATATTTTTAGAATTAGGACTAACCGACTGAGCAAGGAAAAAATATTCTTGGAACAATGTTGAAAACAAGGGAAAGAAATTACTCATTTGGCTCTAGCACGTGTGTTCAAGAAGAATTCAAACAACATTACCAAATTAATAGGTAACCCTATGATGATTTTAAAAAACTTACAGCTGAGATACTTCCAGAAAGATTTGTACACTCATTGTAGAAACAAAAACTTCCAAGTACTTACCTACCAGTGAGAAATAATTAATACTTTTCAGTTTTCACCTATCCTTAATAACACTTTTTATATTCTGTTGGTTTCATTACCACAAGCTAAAGCATAAATCATGGTTAACAAACCATTTTGGCTATGTTCACATAACACATATCCACAAAGTATTTCATAACATACCATGATTGCTTTATTCATTTGATAATGTAGTTTGAGGCTGACTTAACCACTGTAGTTTATTTATTATTTAAATAAATGTTAAGTGAATAGAAATTTTGATTCTACATCAGTCCATCCTCTACATGACAATATTTTTAAAAAGCATAAAAATAGGAAAAATACTAGTAACCTTTCCTGTATCTCTGAGCAATCTATATTCTAAATACTGTAAATGTTACACTATATTGTAAAGAGTATAATGTAACACAACTCTAGTCCAGACCATACAGATTTTACTGTAATTGCTTGCACAGCAGATATTTATTAAACTACAACTGGATATCCCACATAAGTGATTAACTAATTTAGAAACTAGAATGGCAAAAACCAGAGACAGGTGAGCAAAACAACTCTTGACTATGTTTTGGCTGTGCTGCTACATAGTAGAACCAAATGCAAAACAAGTCCTATGGTGTGATTAGGAATAAAGCCAAGCACACATCCTTTAGCCACGTTCCTACGATCATTTGAAGGCTTTCATTTCCCCTCTCAGGTGCTCCACCCTGGAAGGATACCCACCCAAACTTCCATCAGCAGCTTCAACTAATTTTGGCTAGTTTTATCTCACTGACAGCTTTGCTGCAGTGGTTACTACTACCATGTGGTATCATCCAGGCAGCCTGTTGTTGTTTTTCTTCTGCTTCCTTGCTTGTGATTTATATTCTCTAGACCCCGGGCTTCTGTCTCAAGGCAGGAGCCACCTGCAATGGGTTCAGGAGCTAGCCCGACACCCACGATATGGACCTTGTTGGATGGAGACCTTGAGACAATTGGATGGTGGGTGCAAAGAGTTGAACGAAGAGCAGCAAAGCCGTATTGCACTGGCATTTGCTCATTGCCACCTGCAACGGTGAGTCAAGTTTCTAAGCTGAAGGAATCTACAATCTGGGTTAAATCACCGGGTGGAGGAGGAAGCAAAGTTAAAACTCTACCCCCTTCTCACTATTCCTGCCGTTTTAACTGCAAAGGGACAGACAGATGTGCTTTCACCTACTGTAGCTGCTTCCTTTACTAAGCACCCCAGACCTTAGAGTTGGGTACAGTTCTGGGTGTATGCTGCAGAGCAGTGATAAAAAAAGACATTTTACCGAGGTAATTTTGTTGTTTTTATGTGCTCAGAGAATATGGAATCAGAAGGGGTGAAGAACAAAGTTTAGGGCCTCTCTCTATCCCCAATTTGAAGTGCTTTCTGCCCATTCTTGGGCCAACAAAACTATACTGGTGTGAAATTTGATTTCCTTATTTCTGGCCCCTTATCCTGTCACTGTTCCCAGTCATTGCAGTCATCTAGCTTCCTTCAATTATAATGGTGACAGTGCCTAACAAGTTACACAGACTTTGTGTTTGACTACAGCTGTTCTAAGGCCAATACATTCTATCTTACTCTTGAGCCAGGAATCCAATGCAAATAACTTCTGGGGTCATTCACCTGTTGTTTTATTGATACAAGAGCAGTGAGATCAAGCTTCAGAACACTTCAGCTGTGGCTGGAGGAAGCTAATCAAGTACATTTTGGTTCAGTAATCGGATGTTAAATCAGGAATCAAGGATTTCAGCTAAAAGCGATGTTTAATTAAGCTTTACGTAGTTCTATTAATTATTAATTAATTAATAGGGATGCCATGGCTCAGTGGCTAAGATGCTGAGCTTGTCAATCAGAAAGGTCAGCAGTTCAGCGGTTCAAATCCCTAGTGCCACGTAACGGAGTGAGCTCCCGTTGCTGCCAACCTAGCAGTTTGAAAGCATGTAAAAATGCAAGTAGAAAAATAGGAACCAGCTCTGGTGGGAAGGTAACAGCGTTCCGTGTGCCTTCGGCATTTAGTCATGCCGGCCACATGCCGGAGACGTCTTCGGACAGCGCTGACTCTTCGGCTTTGAAACAGAGAGGAGCACTGCCCCCTAGAGTTGGGAACGACTTAACACATATGTGCAAGGGGAACCTTTACCTTTTGCCTTAGTTCTATTAATAAACATTCTGATTTATGGAATGCCACAAGCTGCCACTGCTATGCTACTTCCCTTGAGAACTTGGGGAAAAGAGTGGGGCAGGGGGGTCTTCTGTTGTATAGCCAGGGAAGCCAACTTTTCATAAAAGAGAAATCCCCCTCCCCCCCTCTTTTTTTTCTCCTTTGGCTGTATAGTTTCTCCCCAACAACTAAGTTTTTGTCTTTTCCTTGACAGGTCTGGGAGGAAGTTCCCACCCTGTGAAATTGGTAGCTCTATCCGTGACTGCACACAGCACATGGATCCAGTGGCTTTTGGCGTGTACACTGAGTTTTTCACTCATGCTCATGCCATCTGTTATTTCCTTCACAATGAGGCTTGGCAGCAGCAGGCCCAAGATACTGTGCACAGGTCAGAAAAAAAAGGGGGGGCTCCTTTTGTTGTTGGTTATTTTATATTGAAGGCTGCATTCCCTTGGGGGGATAAACTGCTGCTGGGGGGGTGAAGCTAGTGATTGGGTAGGTACCGAACTAAAAGTGGATAGCCGCATCCCTTCTTTTTCTCCCCCTTGAGCTTCTTGCCCTACAGGCTGCTATAGAGGAAGACGTCCCTTTTGTTAGAGGTCTGAATTTATACTCATTGAAACAAGGCTGCAGGTCGCCTATCCCGAGGGTAAGAGTGCTTTACCTAGGAACAGGCTAATGGGGTAACAACAGGCTTTATCAAGGATCCTTTAGAATTGCCAATCTCCTAGGTCTGTGATGGTGAACCTATGGCACACGTGCCACAGGTGGCACGCGGAGCCATTTCTGGGGGCACGCAAGCCGAGGTGGCGCAGTGGTTAAATGCAGCACTGCAGGCTACTTCAGCTGACTGCAATTCTGCAGTTCGGCTGTTCAAATCTCACCGGCTCAAGGTTGATTCAGCCTTCCATCCTTCCGAGGTGAGTGAAATGAGGACCCAAACTGTTGGGGGCAATATGCTGACTCTGTAAACCGCTTAGAGAGGGCTGAAAGACCTATGAAGTGGTATATAAGTCTAACTGCTATTGCTATTGCTATTCTCAGCTCCAGCACGCATGCACACACCGGGCAGCTGATTTTCGCCCTTGATTTTTGGCCATTTTGAAGCCTCCAGAGGGAGAAAAACAGCCCAACGGGCAACCCAGAAGTCTGTTCCCATCCCAAACTTCCGGTTTGCGTGTTGGGCTGTTTTTCGCCCTCCCCAGGCTCCTGGAAACTCTCTGTAGTCTGGGGAGGGCGAAAAACAGCCCAACACGCAAACCGGAAGTTTGGGATGGGAACAGACTTCTGGGTTGCCCGTTGGGCTGTTTTTCGCCCTCCCCAGACTACAGAGAGTTTCCAGGAGCCTGGGGAGGGCGAAAAACAGCCC